CTCCGTGGTCACGGCTTTTTTCCGACGCCAAGGGGTGCTCATCTTCCCTTATCTGGACAACTGTCTGCTCAAAGGCACTTCGGCACATGAGGTCTCCCGCATGGTTCACCTCACGATGCAAGTCTTCCGATCGCTCGGACTCCTCCTCAACGAGCAGAAGTCCGTCTTGCATCCCACTCAGGACATCGAGTTCATTGGGGCCCGTCTGGACTCACTCGCTGGCAGAGTGTTCCTACCGTTGCGGAGGTTTCAAGCCATCCAGGACCTCATTTGCACCATCACCATGAGCCCCACCGTTCCACTCATCACATGTCTCAGACTCATGGGCCACATGGCCGCCACAACGTACGTCGTGAAATACGCCAGACTACACCTGTGTGCCCTTCAACACTGGCTGAGCCTCGTATGCCACCACACCAGATACGACCTCCACAGGCCCGTTACACCGCCACCGGCCGTTCTTCAATCATTCCGATGGTGGACCAGCCACACAAACCTGCTGTCGGGCGTACCATTTCACCCGCAGCAGCCTCTCCACCAAATCACAATGGGCGCCTCCTTACTAGGCTGGGGGGGCCCACATGGGTTCCCTCTCGGTACAAGGCCAATGGTCCCCACAAGAAGCAAGGTTGCACATAAACCTTCTAGAGCTTCGTACTATTTTCAACGCATGCAAGGCCTTCCTCGTCCACATTCGAAATACCACTGTGACGATACTTACAGACAATATCGTAGCCATGTACTATGTAAATCGCCAGGGCGGCGCTCGCTCCCGTTCCCTGTGCACGGAAGCTATCCGCTTTTGGAACTGGTGCATTCACCACGGGGTGACTCCTTTGGCATCCTACTTACCTGGCACCACAAACGTGACAGCAGACTTTCTGAGCAGACACTTCCACTCAAAACATGAATGGGAAATGCACGACGGCATATTATGCGACATCTTCCAACGTTGGGGGACTCCCTGAGTGGACCTCTTCGCAACTCCCGCCAACGCAAAATGCCACAAGTTCTGCACCAGAGCGGGCCTGGGCTGCGCATCTCTAGGGGATGCCTTCCTCGTGACTTGGCGCGGACCCCTCCTTTATGCATTTCCCCCCATACCTCTCATTCCCAAGGTCCTTCAGAAGCTGACGGCGGACAGGGCTACGATAATCCTCATAGCCCCAGATTGGCCTCGCCAGCACTGGTTCCCATTCCTGCATCGCCTCTCCGTACGAACACCGATCCGCCTTCCGCCTCTCCACGACCTCCTCACACAAGCCCGAGGACGCCTGAAACATCCCCAGATACAAATGCTGAACCTAATAGCATGGTTCCTAACTGGCTGAACCCAGGTGAATCTGTTTGTTCTGCCGCAGTCCAAAACGTCCTAGTACAGAGTAGGCGACAAACCACGAGAAAAACTTACCTCCACAAGTGGCACGGATACTCCTCCTGGTGTACCTCGAACCACCACGATCCGGCACGTCCGTCCATTTCCTCCGTACTGGACTATGCACTGCACCTAAAAAACAAGGGTCTTGTGTTAGCCTCCATCAGGGTGCACCTCGCAGCAATATCGGCATTTACATCACCTGTAGATGGCGTTTCTATCTTCGCCCATCCTACGACTAAACGATTTCTCAAGGGCCTTATCAATATGGACCCACCACGCAACCCAGTCCCTCCTGTGTGGAGCTTGGATGTGGTACTCGATGCCCTAATGAGGCCACCGTTTGAGCCTCTGGTGACCGTATCCTTACGATTCCTCACCCTGAAAACGGTTTTCCTGCTCGCAATAACCTCTGCACGCAGGGTTAGCGAGCTTTCCGCCATGATGGCCATTCCACCATATACGATTTTCCGTAGCGATGGGGTAGTCCTACGATTACATCCGAGGTTCCTACCCAAAATTGTCTCCAATTTCCACGTTAACGAACCAGTCATCTTGCCAACCTTTTTCCCAAAGCCCCATGCCTCGCCACGGGACGTGGCCCTACATTCCTTGGACATCTGCAGGGCCTTAGCGTTCTACATAGATCGTACTAAACCGTTCAGGCTTACGGACCATTTATTCGTCTCCCTGACACACAGGTCAAAGGGTCAATGCCTATCTTCCCAGAGAATCTCCAATCTCATAACGGCATGCATAGTGCAATTGTACGCAGCAAGAGGGTTGCCCCTTCCGTCCCAACCACACGCTCATTCCACTAGAGCCATGGCCATATCTACAGCGTTCCACAGAGGCGTATCTCTGAAGGACATTTGCAGAACGGCGGCCTGGTCCTCTCATGGGACCTTCGCTAAGCATTATTCTATCTCTCTCTCTCATTCGGATGGGGCAGTGGCGACTGCGGTGCTCTCCACATGCGTGGTCCGGCCGGATACTGCTACTGATAAGTCTCCGTCTGCGGCGCCGGGGCAAGCCCAGCACCCATAGTGGAGCACCCGCGGGGACACCACCTCGAAGAACGACAGTTACTGCACCGGAGGTGAGTAACTTCGCTTATCCTCTGGGCCAGTGTTGTGGCGTGGGTATCCAGATGATTGACCTGTTGGCGATCAGGGACAACAGGAAATGTCACAAGTACCCCAAAACCTTATCTTTCCAGGGTTTGGTATAAAGCTTCCCCCCAAAATCTTAAACTTAGATTTTGGGGATAAAAATCCGCTGCCACCACCCAAGTAATGATAAACTCAGGGAAGAGATCACTTGAGAAATCTCAGCCCTAAAGTAAAACAAGGACATGCAAAAATTAACCAATACCAGGTTAATAAAAGTTCTTTCTCTCTTTTTTGTTTTAATCACCACAGTACTCCTGTTACAAGCATAATGACTAAATGGAAAAGTCACCAATTTATATACTGATGGGGGGACCCCTCATGGGCCAAGAGCTTAGTTACAAAGGAGAGGAAAACTCATTTTTAAACGCACAGACATCAGATTCCCATTCCCAAATCATAAAACAATAAAACCTAATGGATTTATCTAAACTTTACCCTACTTACAGATGGTGAAGAGTCTTTTCTTGGAGAGACAGACATGTCTTTCTTCCTCAGCATCTGGAGAGAAAAACTGTGCAGAAACAAAGGAGGGAAAAACCCAAAAATTCCTTTGTCCCATTTTGAAATCCCTATCTGCATTTGTATTGGCTGACTGTACCTGGCTTAGGTACAGTTAACCTCTTAGTCCCCAGGCTGCTGGCTAACCCTCATGGTCATGACATACCTCTTCTGTTCTTTCATTGCAGCTGCCAAGCAGTTTTCTTCTTCGCCCTTCTGCCGGTCACCCACAAGCAGAAGGTGGGTAGGGCCGAGTGCAGGCTCATAGTTCTGGTTCTTCAACTGTTTATTCAGCCTCATGTCCTGTTCCCTCCACCCTGACCAACTTGTTCAGAACCACACACACTTGCTGCATCCCAGGTGCAGCTCCCTGCTGCTACTGGTGTGGCTGCTGCACAGCTGAATGAGGCAGCACACCAGCGAGCCCTCTGCCAGGATCCAATTGGCATCTAAATGGATGTATTGACTTGTGCAATTCATCCTGCTGGCTTCTGTCCAGGACATTCTGGCATACCTGCATAGGCTGGTTTGGGGTAACTACTCCAGGGCCTGCACTTTGGGGGGGGGCCCTCAAGGTGGCCTGGGAGATTAGTAAGGGGGGGTAGAGCCTGAGGCAAATTGGGCAGGGGGTTGTCCTGGGCCCGGCACTCCCCTAGGGATGGATCTTCAGCTCTTGGGACTTGTGCTTAGTTCATTGAAATTTCTTCTGGCAGCAATATCAGCATTCCATCTCTCCAATCTGGGAAGATGAGTTTTCTCCAATGCCATAATAGCAAGGTCCCTGAAAGGGTTTCTTCCTCTACATCCTCCAGTCCAAGAGCTAATTTCTCTGTGGGACCTTAACATCAAACCTAGCGCCTTTAATGGAACCTGTTTGATTCCCTGGCATCTTCTCTGTTTCCATTTTTTATCAGAACCCTGTGTTCCTGGTAGTGAAAACATCCACAAGGAATGGGCGACAGCTGCCGGCTTAGATAGCAGCACCTCCTTACAGCTAATTCTCCAATGTGATGCTGACCACACCCAAAAATTGTGTTTAACCATAGCTAGCTCAAGTGAAACAAAAAAACACATTTTACTTATCTGCATACTTACCTAAGCTGCCTTCATCGCTGGAGGAGCAGTGTCTCCATATGCTACAGGTCTGGCCTTCTATTGGGCAGGACTCAATTTTGCCTCACCTGATGTGACCTGGCAAAGGAAGAGGGTTCCCTGCTAAGGGGCAATCACAGTTCACCTGGTGGTTTGCTTCACCTGATTGTATGAAGGGGCAAGTAGTCTCTTCAGTCTCTCCAAATGGAGAAATCTGTATCAAACCCAAAGCTGTGAAATAGCTTTGGCTACATCCCATCTCTGAGTGTGAGCTCAATCTACAAAAGCAGAAGGCATGTCCATAGCATTCTTCAGGACTGCCATGTGATCATCCATATGCACATTTACTCCATCTTCCAGGGCACGGTTGTAAGCTGTGGTAGGTTGGTCCTGTAGTCCTTTTGTAGGTGGACTCTAAGCTCCACCTCCTCATGGGAGATACTGTGAGGGAGTCACTTAAGTAGAATTATGGCACAAAACTGAGAACTGGTTACAGTAATTCCTCATTTAACATGATAGATGCATTTCTGAAAATGTTTGTGCTAAGCGAAAACAAGCTATGTGGGGTCAATTTTCCCATTAAAAATAATGGAAAAGGTGGGGGTTGCATTTCAGATGGCAATGGCAAAGTCAGTTTTTTGTTGGTGTTAGATCTTTAGCAACACAAGTCACTGCAGTTTGTTAAAACACAAAGATAATCACGAGTGAAGGGAGGAGCGCTGTGACCATGTGTACTCATCTGCTCATGCATATTACCACTGTTTTCACAAACTTATACCGCCACATGAAGTAGTCTGCCACTTGATTATTTTTGTGTTATTTTGGGAATGGTTGTGTTATTCGAAAAACATTCCCTAAAAAAAAATCATGCTATTGCAAAAACGTATTAAGCGGCACGTGTTAAATGAGTAATTACTGTAACTGTGATTCTGGGAGACATCATGCAGATGTGTGTTCCAGCGACCCACCCTCCATTTCCTTTGCATCAGTTTGTTCTTCAGTGCAAAAGAACTGAGAGGGTTGGGACAGTACCACTTCATATAGCCATGGTCCAGGCTATAGCCACAAGATGCAAATTCTCCTGCTCTTGAGCAGATGACATCTGAGCGCTTGTGTCCGTTTGGTTCTCTAGCCAGGACTGTCTCATACAAAGCTTTGCTAGTGAACAACCACCACATAGTCACGCCCAGCTGTATTGGTGAATATTATGCCCAGCCACGCAAAAATCGATGCTGGGTACATGTTCTAGGTCCAGCCTTGCACCCCGGTCCATCCCGTCACTGAACAGAGCAAACGCACAAACGCATTTCTTTGGAAAAGAAATAACCAAGCCAAAGCATTTGTGAGCGCATGGGGATGTCCCATGGCGCTGGTTCGGACACGAGTCTCAGGAGAGAACCTGCAGCTCTCGGGAGTCCGCAGAGCTGGAAAGCCAGGCCGGTGTAGCGAGCAAAACACTAACTTCTCAGAATTTGCTACTTTGGGTGCACTGAGCATGCGCACCCGAACTGAGCAAACTCAGTGTCCCTCGCTGTAGCCGCTGCCCTCTCTCTGCCCTCACTGCCTCCTCAGCTTTGCTTCCTCCTCTTCGGAGGTGTTTAAAATGATGAAGGGGGGCAAATTGCAGGGGTGTGTGTGTCAGGTTCTGAGCATGGGGCAAAAATTTACCGACTGGAGGCATCAATCTTCTTTTTTTAGCTGCAGAAGAGAGGCGAAATTTGAAAAATCGGGGGTGGTAGCCTTGGTTAAGCCCGGCCTGGGGGACACTGCCAGACCCTGTGCACGGAGAAAACCCCCGTTTAGGGAGGGGGAGAGGTGGGAACAGTCATCCAGCAGGACAAGCCACCTGATGTCCTTGAAAATATCAGTTTTCCAGGGGCAAAGTCTTTTTTTTCTTTATTTTCCCTGGACGCTGCCTGTCAGCCCCCGAGCAGGGGGCGGGCTCCTGGGCTTGAGTTCTTAAAGGCACAGGCCTCCCAATTCCTAGACGGTCAATGCTTAGACACCACCGTTCCTCTGTATGTGTACAAGTGTGAAATATTCTACATACAGTTCCTGTCTCAAACTCTGCCTCTCACTTTTTTAGTATTTAATAGTTTTCTCTTTGTTTCTCTATCAGAAGTCACTGCATCTCCTTTCTCTTGTGTACTATGCTGATATGCTAAAGTCCCTCCCATCCACACCCTCACCTGTACTGCAATCCCCTGACCCATGGCAGATCCCACACCTGTCCCCCAAACTCCCCCTAGCAAGCACCCCTCATGCACCCAAACTCCGTCCCAGATCCTCATCACCAAACATGGGCAAGTATCGGAGGGGTAGCTGTGTTAGTCTGAATATGAAGAATCGTTGAGGAGTCCTGTGGCACTATCTTCAGTTCGTCTATAAGGTGCCACAGGACTCCTCGCCAACATGGCCAAGTGAAATTTTAGTGATTCCTCCCGTAGTCAATGGGGACATGGGTCAGAGAGCTCAGAGCAGGGGGCTCCAACATTTTGAAAGTGCAATCCAATATGTACCTTATATATGTACCCTTTTCCCGCTTCCTTCTTACCCCTTCTCCAAGTCCCAGATCCTGCTCCCTCTATCCTCCCTCTCTTGCCCATCCTCAGTCTCTTTCATCAGCCTGGGACAGACGGTTGGGTGCACATGCTCTGGTCTTTGCTTAAGGGATCTGGAGTGTGAGAAGGGCTCTGATCAGCTCTTGGAGCATGCATTTACTGTGGTGTTCTAGGTGCAGGCTTTGGCAGGGTATTTGGATGCATGGGTGCTCAGAGCAATGATAAGGGCTTGGATACAGGACTGGGTTCATGCCAGGGGTAGGAGTTAGTGATGTATGCTCCATTTTGTCACTGCTGGTGACTCCTAGATGGTGGTGGAGTGTGCCTAAGGCAGGCTCACCCATGCCCTTGCCCTGTAACACTCCCTAAAGCTGCAAGAAAACTCCATCCCTGGTCCTGTGTTGAAAGGATACAGAATGGTATATGTTGAACCCTGACATCAGCACCCCTCTTTTTCCTCCCCTGCCGTGCACACAAAGCAGCAGACTCCCAGGCGTGGTATCAGCTGCAAGGCAAAGTGCAGGACATCCACAGCAGTGGGGGGAGGGGCATGTAAGTGCTGGCACTTGATATCCTCTTGCCCACACCAGTCATGATCACCTGACAGAGGATACAAGATCTACCAGTATATCCCTATCTACTGGTTGGTGACCACTGCCTCATAGCGACTGTCTGTCCAGGGTCAATGTGTCATATCATAAGAACATAAGAACGGACGTACTGGGTCAGACCAAAGGTCCATCTAGCCCAGTATCCTGTCTACC